GATTTCCTTTCTTTCTTTTTTATATATTGGGCAACCAATAAGGAGATGTGCAGCTGTTTCGATATTGTTGTAGATATATTTATTGTTTGAAAGTTTGAATTGATGTAAATAAGATTTAATATAATTGTGGCCGATTTTGAGTTGAAAGAAGGCGCTAGCAGTAATTTCGTTTAGTATCTTCTGGTAGTTTGATTTTGGAGTTGATTTTCTATGGGAAGAGTTTCGAATAGGTTGTATTTGATTGATTTGATTTGGATTCGTATTGATTGAAGTCTTTAGCCATTGATCGGAGTCGTATTCCTTTACTATTATATCAAGTAGCCCTATACTGGTTTCGCTTGACAGAAATGAATTATATTATAACTACTTTCTAGAATATATTATAATACAAAGTAGGTTCGCTACACCTACAGACGCTTTCCCGGCTCACTTGTGATAAAGCCACTAGTACTAGGCTTCTGTAGAATCTTCTGACTATATTAAACCACCTATTGTATGATTACCTTTGGAAATTCCGGCCAGGACCAAAACCATTCCTTCACATCTTCATTCCTGTTTGCTCCTTAAGCCTATCTGATATCTCCATTATGCTCTCTGCCCTATAGTATCCGATTATAGACCAACACATGTATCCATCCTCTCGAGCCATATAGATAATGTTGCTGTCGCTGTTATTATATGCTATGTCTCGCGGCTAGTAGCCGTTTCGTGTTACCTTGCCGAATCTTTTCTATACAACAAGACCGACTATATCTCGCAGGCTTACTATTTCAGATCTCTAGTTAGGTAGCCCTTCTATAATGTTTTTAATCTATTAATCAAAGCTCTGCTTGTAAATCCATTTCCCAATATATAATTTGTAGTCGAAAGTAAAGCACTAAAAGCGTATTGTATATATATATTATAGAATTAGCTTCTACCTGAGATCCTCTACCACTATAATATCGATCGAGCATTATCGAGTATGGCTTGCTAAAAGCGTTCTTCCTATACCGGAGCTCCTCCGCTGTTATACCGCTTCCGCATACTCGGAAATAAGGTGCTAAAAACGTCCCTCCTCCTATTCCATATATACTCCCGCCGGCCCCAATAGACACTGTTCTAGCCTTTGTATACTTTCTATTATTCCCCTTACCATTTGTAAATATCCAATCCAGTATACCCGCAGATCATACATATTATTGGGTTATGAAAACTCTGTACGCTAGTGTCCCAGAGGTGTTTTTGTCGATTTTCGTTCGTCAAGTTAAGGATATCGGCTTTGCTTCCAACACAGGCTTCAATCAGATTCAGCTATATTATAGAAGCTTCATTATCTGTTGTTTCAAGGGCTAATTCCGCTTCGCAAACATTCTGCTGTGATATGCTCTGGCTCTGCTCCTTATACAGATTCGTAAAGGTATGGTTCCGTATTAATCCCGCTTTCATCTCTTTTCCCACCATCGAATAGTTTTCATTTCCGTTTTGCTGATAGTCCTCTGTTCCGAGCATCTTCGCGATCACTCTTTGGTGATTAGCTATGCGTACCTTTGCTCCCAGTACGGCCTCCGATTAATGTATAACCACCACCCGGCTCCAGCTGACTCTACTTAGCTCTCCGATCGCACGATCGAAGGTTCGTAGGATACACCACGTACAGGTGAGAGTCATCGTATCCCCTTTCAAGATTAAAGAATATCGGATATTATAATAAAAAGCTTTTTCGAAGGAAAATACTTTGCTTTTAAATCAATTTTATTTTTATCTTTTTTTATTATTTCAAAATCATAATGAAAAGAGTATAAATAATCTAAGTAATAGGAATAGTCTAATCTTATTCAAATCAAATTAAACAATACTTATTCAATTAAAATCCAAGAAAAAATCTTTAATCTAAATGAAATTATTTAAGAGATTATTATAAAGACTTACAAAGCAATTCCATAAACCTTTTTTATTTTCTTTAATAAACTTATTAATCTAGAATATTATTCAAAATATTGAAAACAAATTACAAGAATTATTTTGAAGAAAGCTTTCAAATCAGATTATTCCCTTTCAAAAGTATATAGAATAATTATACTTTTAAATTGTTTAAATAAATAAGTGAAAGGATTCTAATTTAACAATTAAAATATTTAATAAAAACAATTTATTTTTTTTACAAAAATCAAATAAAAGAACACCAAAAGAAATCAGTAATCGATACTATACTTTTATTGATTATAGAAATCAAAAAAAACAAATAAGCTAATAAAAAGATCTTAATATTATTTATAAATATAAAGGGAGTATTCGATTATATTTCGAAAAATCGATTATTAAATATTTATAAGAAACTAAAACTACCTACAAATCTAATAATCTAAATAGTTTTATTTTTTTAACAAAAACAATTGAAACTATCTTTTAATAATCAAATCGAATCTTTTAAATCAATTTCGATTAGAATATTACAAGGCAATCCGATTTCTCTAATTCTTTTCCTTATATATATCAGAAAGCTCTTTTACTCAATTCGATTAAGTTTTTTTTTTATATAAATAATATTATTTTAATTATATATTTATTTATATAAAAAAAGAATATCAAAACTCTAAAAAGAATTATAAAACAAATCTATAAACTCAATTCTAAAAATGTAATCCAATTCGATTTGGCAAAAATAGAGCTAATGTACTTTTCATTATCCAAATTGATAAAAAAATATCTAATTACATTACCCAATTCGGAAATAATTGTATTTCAATCTCTTATTAGATGGTTGGGAATATGATTTGATCTGAATTTCAAATTCAATCAATATGTTAATATTCGAATCATATAAACAAAAGGTGCTTTCTATCGAATGGTTTGATTAGTTAATATCGAAAAGAGTCTTAATCTTAAAGCCTTTAGACAATTATATATAGTATGTGTAACCAGTATAACTGATTATGGATTAGTAATTTGGTGGAGAGATCAAATTTATTTTAAGAATATAATGTAATTGCTTCAAAACCTAGTTTTTCGAAAGATATTAGGAGTTTTCAAAACAGCCCTAATTCTTTTAATGGAAATAGAAGTAAGCCTAAAGCCTTTAAAAATTCGATTAGATTTAAATATTAGGCAATACACATTTCGTTTAGTTAAACTCTTGTTAAACTATCTAATCAATATCAAAAAAGAAATATCAACTCAATATCAAATCAATTTGGAAATAATCCCTACTCCTCAAAGAAAATGATATAAATCAATCTAACTTAATAGAATTAAAGAATCAATAAATCAGAATCTCAATTCTATTTTATTTGAAAAGATTATTCATTTCAACTTCCTTTTATGGAAAAAGGAAATTCTCTTTAAAGTTAATATTAGTAATTCATTAAAAGAAGATACCGCTATTCTTCACAATATCATTTTCAATCACAAAGATAAGGATATTACCTATATTTATATTAATACCTTTTTTATTAAAAAAGGAATAGATATAAATATAGGTATAATTATAATATAATTAAATAATCGAATTTTATATCAATAATAATTAAATATTGGTAATAATTAATTAGTATATAATAGAGAGCTTTATAGGATTATTAAAGCTATTGAATATGCTAGTACAATTACTTGTATTAGCAACAAATTCAAAATATATTCGAATAATCAAGCTGATCTATATCACTTAAAAACACTATCAGATTACTCTGAATAGACCTATTAGATTCGAGTAATCAAAGTAGCGGAAATCATTAAAGCAAAAAAAGCTAAAGTATCTCTAAATTAAATTCCAGAATATATTTTAGTAGAAAAAAATAAACTAGCAAATAAATTAGCAAAAAAAGCAATTATAATATATTCTATTTCAAACGAAACAAGTTTTGAACTTCTAAATATAATAATTAAAGAGTACAATTCAGATCAATAGCTTTCTACTCTCAATCAATACAAACTTAAATCAAATCAATTCTTTTTAACCTATTCAAAACTATTTCTATAAAAGATAGAATCAAAAATCAAGTTACCAAACAAAATCAAGCAAAACATTGTTAGTGTATATTTTCAATTCAAATTAGGTTATAAATATATCAAATCTTATTTATATCAATTCAAACTCTTTAATAATAAATGTATATGTGGTAATATTGAGGTTTTATAATATTTCCTTATTAATTGTTCTATATACAAAATAGAAAGAAAAGAAATATTCAAGAATATACTATTATCTAAGATTACTATATAGTTCTTATTTTATATAAAAATAGGTATTGAATTAGTTATTAAATTCATTAATATTATTAAAATCGCTATAAGAGTATGGCATTTGGCTAGGGCTCTCATACAAAACGAGATAAAGGAAGGAATAGTAATAAAAAAGGAGAGAGGAAAAGAAAATAAAGAAGAAGTAATTAGAAAAATAAAAAAGGGTTTTGATTTCCTTACAATTTCTTGATTTTATAATTTTCTTATTATATGTAATGTGTATAATGAGTGGGCATTATTCCCCAACATTTGTTTTCACTTCCCTAAATTATATATATCCATTTTTATAAAATAAAAAATTATCCACTAGAGCCTCTAAAGGCCTAGCCATCCTATATAGTCTTAGACTGAAGGTGGATGTAAATGAAATCAATTAATCAATCTACTTGGCTAAAAGTCTTTTATGAATCTGAAATGCGTTGTTAAAATAAGCGATCTTGAAGTACCGTGTGCAGGGTGCTTCACAGCGTGTCATTCTAAGGTTTTATAAACTGAACTTCGGACACGAGCGTAGAAGATCTATTGTCATCCCGTTTCGCTAAATTTTCAAGATAATATATTTCAATTTATATTTCAGTCTCAATACAGAGAGCCGACATCTGGCTTTAACATCCTACCATTACCAACCAACCATCCATTCTATCATTCTAGCTGCGGAAACTTAAAACTCAGAAACCATCCACAAAGTTTCATTGGTATGAAAGGGAATGAGATATGAATCATCTCATCATCGATCAAATGATCTATTGCTCAGTTCTCCATTGCATATGGCAAGTAATTCATTGCACATCTTCCATCTTAACATCTTCTTCCTGGTTGTCTGATTGCCTATACACCACAGTTTCATTATCTGAGCCGTCTTCTATTCCGATCGGGTTACTCTCACTGCCCGGCTGGTCATCTTGACTCTTGTGATTGGAAGAACGCGCGTCGTTCTCTCTCTCGGCCTTCCTTTTCTCCCAGGCTGGCCCGCGTCTTGCGCCTCCACGCCCTACCTTCTTTTTATACGGTGCAGGTGGGATCTGTGGTTCAGGAGTATAAGTATCATTTTCGTCATCATTGATCAGTCCAGGCTGCTGCTCAACAGGTTGATGTCTTCTCGGTCTACCACGCTTTTTTTTTTCTTTTGCCCCACCATTATTACTGTTGGAAATCATATATATGATACTAAGCAGTATGCTAGTAACAAACATCTTTTTCTATTCTAACAATTACAATCAGCTAATTCATTTAATAGACCATTACTTGGATTCTGCCTCTCACTCTAGGAGGTCAGCTTTTATAATAATAAGGAATATTATTATTATAATGATAGTGGAATATCTAGTCAATTTAAGCCTGAGGGATGAATCGAATATATATGAGTTGAATTGAAGTCAATTTAGAAGAGCTAGGCTGAGTTGGGATGAAATTGCTTGCTTTTTCTAGGTTTTCTTTAAAGAATATCCTAGGTTTATATAGTTTATAATGAAATTCTAGTATTTTCTATGCTTATAAATAAGATCGATTTAAATCGAATCTTATAGAATCATTTTATGTAATAAAAAGAAAGTATAACCAATCAATTTAACGATATTTCCTATGTGTTTCCATCTAGTTCCATTTCATTCTATTTCATTATAAATCAATTTGATAAGAGATATCATTACATAACTATATGATAATATGATTTTATAATATAAGATTAACGTGGTTTAACACCGAGTGTGTGACGGACCTAAAGCTCTCTTCTTTACCACTAGGTTATACAACCCCAAAAGGAATAATTTAAGATCGAAAGATCTTAAAGAAGAAAGTCTATATACTAGATAATATAACTTATCACATTACCCCCTCGTTAAGGATCGATCCTCCGATCGATTAGTAATAGTTACCCATAAGAACATATACAGATTTGCTCTAGCTCCTCAATATTCTAATATGCAGCTAATATGCAATTGATAGAAATATTCTCAGAAAACTAGGTTTTTTAAAGCTCTACATTCAGTTGATCAATTACAATTAGATTTCAAATACTTATAAAATGAATATATTTACTCTAACACAACCTAGCCCTAGTATCGAATAAGTGTTGGTTCAATAATGAGATCAGGAATACGGGAGATGTAATTTCCACTATCAGTAGGCCCCTAAATGTCTGTATTGTATTCTGTCTAAAGAGCTAGCTAATGAGGGGAAGTAGTAGGCCTTATATAGACATTACTGAAAGAGCTAGTCTCCTTTGCATTCGCCTAAATACCTTTGATACAGTAGCCATTGTATTGAAGTCATTCTTTTGAAGTGAATTCCCTTGTTCACACAATAAGGTTTCAGATTTAGGCATTTTTGCAAAGAATATATTTATACTAGCACGATCTTATTCGATCTAGAAAAGGTTTCAGACTTAGACATCTTTATACAAAGAATATGCTTACACTAACACAACCTTTAATAATTGAATCGAACTAAATTTCGAATTAAATGGATCTTAAATAATATGATAGACCTAAAACTCTCTTTTTTACCATTAGGCTACACAATCCTAAAAAGAATAATTTAAGATCAAAAGATCTTAAAGAAAAGAGTTTATATATTAGATAATGTAACTCGTCACAGAGTGCATCATATCACCGAGTGCACCACGAATTTTACATACAAAATACGTCTGTGCGTAACCGTGCACTTTCTTTATTTAATAATATAATTTTTCAAAATTTGAAATTGTAACATTTAATTATATAAATATTATAAATGTTTAATTATTTATCAAAAATTTGAATTAATATAGTAGTTATTATAGAGATAGTTTTTTTTGTAACGAAAATCGTGACAATTTCCACTTTTTATAGAATATAACAGATATCTTTATATAAAAGCTTAATATTTTTATAAAAGATCTTTTCTTATTAATAAATCTTTTTTGCTTTTTAAAAAATATTGATTAATTATTAAAATACAAATATTAGGAAAAGGCTAATTTTGGTGTATTTTGAAGTGGTGCATTCGGTGATATGGTGCACTCGGTGTTAAACCACGTTATATTATAACGTGGTTTATCAGTGAGTGGGTCATATCAGTGAATGGGTCACTTTCACCTCAATTCACTTTCTTCTCTTTCAATACGCGTTTTCTCAACAACCCACAATGAATTCGAATAATCAAGAAGCCCGTATACTCCTTGCTATCGAAGCTATTCGAAAAGACAAAAAAATGAGCATTCGAAAAGCTGCTAAGCTATATAATTTATTATATATAATACTCAATCATAGAATGAATGGTTTTATTCCCTGTATCGAAACTCGAGCGAATTGTTATAATCTTATAGAATTAGAAGAGGAAGTGATTATTCAATATAACGTGATTTATCAGTGTGCGGGTCATATCAGTGTGCGGGTCACTTTCACCTTTATTCACTTTTTCAAACTTATATTATTCAATAACTATTGAATCAATTGATTAAAACTATGAAAATTATAATAATCTAGAATCTATTATATTATTTTGACAAGTTCTTGTATTATATTCAATCTTTCCGCATTTACTACAGTATCAACTAAAAAATACTTTTCTATTAGAATTCCTTCCTTTTTGATACTCGTTGTATTGAATCTGAATATCAATCTTTTGTTGAGATAATATATCAAGAGCTTCTTGTTCAGTAAGTATTCCTCCTTGATGTAATTGGGTTTTTTTCGCACATCAACATTTGCTTAATACCTTATTCGCTATTCGAAGTATACGGACCTCTATATTTAAAAATATATTCTTATAAGCTAATCTCTCTATACCTTTAGCTAAAACTAATACAATCTCAAATATAGATATAGACTGGCCCCTTGCCCCTGTAGAAATGCAATCTAACAAGCAGGCGATTACATATATCAAGAAACTCTTATATACACCTAGCAAGCTCACATATATGATCTTCCATAATCAATGAGCATTATATTATAATAAAATACACATATACTCCTTATTTATTTCCCCTGCCCCGGCAGGCTTAATCTTATCAAACCTTGTAATCACAGGAGGCTTCTATTATGCTGATAGTGATACACGCCCCTGGCACGTCGAGCGGTTTTTTAATTTAGGGGGTGCTTTCCTTTCAAACAATCACTAATACCTTAGGGGCTGGTATACAGCCCCCACCAATTATAAGATCGCCTATAGGCTCTATTCTTGGTATAATCAAGGAACGATTCGAAAGGATTGATAAGATAGAGGGGAAGAGATAGAAGGTAATCGAGGCATTCGTAGTGCTAGCAGATAAGCTTGCACAAGGATTCCAAGGCTAATAATACAAACTCACTGTGAAGTTTAAGAGTATAATCATTTCTACTCTGCTAGAAGTAATAAAGACTATTCTTGATTAAGGGAAAAAGCCTGTAATGGAGTAATTATAGTTAGAAAGCAATATGCAGAAAACCTATATTGATGTACTGAAAACTCAGATGAGGCCTGAGGCAGTAAGCCTTACTACAGGCTCCACTAATACAATACGCTTTGCTTCTAGTAAAAGTATGAACACTGATCGCTTGGGAGCATGCAGACTCAAAAAGGAGAATGATCGGATCGAAAAAACGATCCTTATAATAGCTGGCAGGGAAGCTCTGCTTTCAGAGACTAGCCTATTCCTGTTAAGACTCAGAATAAAAGAGGTAGTTGCTGAGATTACATTAGCAGAAATCCCCTTTCTTCAAAGGAATAATACAGGCTGGATATTAAGGTACAGTTCTAGTGCTAGTCGGAAGGAGATCATGAAAACAGAAAATGTTGAGCGGATATTTAAAACCCTTTATACAATAAGTATGTGTAGATTAGAAAAATGGTTTATGTATGTAGTCCTATAAGTACTATACGATTTCTATTATATCAAAGGTGCTCCTGTTCCTATACTCATTGAGCTTATCAAGGAGGAGATTACAGCTCAAATTGGCAAGTAGCCAATCAACTACAGATTGACACGTAGCAAGGTCAACCCGATTATTAAAAGAGCCATCTGGATTATTGGCTTTAATATTGCAATACCACGATTTCGACTATTTAATAACAGCTTCTATTTGGTTCTCCTAAACAAACCCTAGGAAATTCAACTTTATAGTACTGGCTGCCTAGAATATTGTAATCTCTTTACCTGTAATAGAGCTTTAAGATACTTGATATACGGTAAACTAAATACTGAGTATAAGAGCACACTTGTACATCAGTAATGCACTAGAATAGCTCAATACGCTAATTATCATAAGCCCTTCCGTGCTGGTTATTCCAATTGCCTAGTTGCTTTTAGGGTTTATACTAAATGACAGATTGTTTTAATCACAAAGGAACTGGCTGTAGTCAGAGCTATTGGCAGAAAAGATTATAAAATGCTGTACAAAGCAGATACAGATAAAACGGATTACACCCTTGAATCATCTTTGTTTCCTAAAATAACAATTACAGAAACCCCGGTTACTCTGGGGGTGAGGATTATAGTATATGAGAATGAATGCTTCAGCAAATGTCTGTGTAGGCTTAGTACAAGTCTGCCGATCGCATTAATCATGCTATGCATACACCCAGCTTATAACCAAAGTCAGCGGAATCTCAATATAAAAGCCTTAGCAGAAAAAGCTTTCACTCCAATAGATCTGGAAATGAATGATATAGAGATCTCTATAATGATAGATACTATATCTAGATTCTCTTTATGAATAGTACAATTGATAAGCATACTCAAAGGAACAAAAGTTTCACTATCGCTTAGGCGAATATAGGTCGGGAATATGCGAATCATATCACACTATTACAACTAGCAGCTGAAGCTCAGCTGAATATAATCTGTTTACAGGAGCTAAGATTATACTGAAACTCAACCATACAAAATCACAATGTATACAATCAATATCAACTAATCGATAACTAGAATCTCTAGGGAGACTTGGAGGAAAACAAACAAGGTTCTTGGGTTATAACATATATACAAAAAGGTGTGTACTTGAAAGTAGAGCAAATAGATCGACTCGAAAACAGAGATCTATTTTGGATACAAGTCAATGGATATTCGATTCTGAATGTTTATAGAGTTTTATACATTTTGGATATTATTAATTATATCATACACTTGATCCCAAATGAGTGTATGATTATAGGAGGGGATTTTAATGTAAAGCATAAATTATGGGAATTGGGGGTAATCGCAGTCAATTAAGGGGCACAGCTTGCAATATGGGCA